AATCTAACCCACGCAGTATATTTTCTTTTTCTCTTGTGCTTCAGTATTGAAGTATAAAGCTGCCGGTCCTGGAGTTTTCCTGAGCCCTTCGGGTGCACAGATTACTGTAACTGGCTTTCGTCTACTTCTTGGAACCACATACTAATCTAAGAAAAGAGGGAAACAATCGCAAGCTAAGAAACCATGTCGACTAAGTAGATAAATGAGGAAGAGGGACAAGGAGGAAGAGGGAGAGAAGAAAGTGACCAGAAGGGAGAAGAAAGGAAGGAGGGACAGGAGGTAGAAATAAGAGGATGAAGGAGAAAGAAGAGGAGAAAGAGGAAGAGAAGAAAGGAAGGAAGAGCGGGATGGAAAAGACAGAGATTTTCTGAGGAGCCTTGTTAGCGCTCAGAAAAGGATACCCCAAAGTATGGCCCTTGGAAGTGCTGAGTACTTTGAACAACCTAAGAACCTCAGAACCAAAGTCTCTCTGACCTTCCGCAGCCCCACTGCCTCCTGATCCTCTTTCATTCCGGAATGGCAGGGAGGGGCTTTCACTGAAGTTTCCCTTATTTGACTCAGGGAAGTTCCTCCAGAAGGAAAGAGACTGTCATGAACCCTCTCCTGGAATCTGTACTAAACCAGAGAAGATTAACTCAGATCCCAGGAGAGAAAACTAAAGGTCTCCACGCCCGGGACATCTCGCCGAGCCAGACTTCAATTCTTTTCTTCACAACCTTTCTGAGGGCTGGTACTTGAGAGACTTTATCTGTGTAATAAGACAAGCTTTTTTACCAGAGTAGTTCCTGCCCTAATCCTCACATTACTTCTCGCCACCACCTTCCAGGAGCCTTCAAGCCCCTATTTCTTTATGTAGCTCCAAGACCTATTTAAGCTTCAACCATCTGCCCCTTCTTTGAGTCTCACTTACACTTTCTGGGACCCCTGTGCATATGTGCATAATAAATGTGTATGCCTTTGCTTCTGTTAATCTGTCTACCGGCAACTTTATTTCTCAGACTCAGATAACCAAACTCCAGAGCGGAGAAAAAAGATTCTCTCACCCCTACAGGGTCAAAAGAAGACTAAAAGAAATTCACTAGATTTATGGAAGACCATAATTTGAGGGGATAGACATGAAGCAGTTTGATGGGGTAGCGAGGTGTCCATACAGATATAAATTGTGTTATAGATTGTTGTTCATAGTTCATGCATATCACATCCTTTTTATTTGGTGGACATATTTTTGTCAAGCATTTCTTTATATAAATTTTTTTGCTGAAATCATTTGCAACTCCAGCTTTGAATACAGTTAGATACCACAGAAATATCAAAAATCTGTTTTAAAAAATAAAAAAAAAATTAGAATCAGGGTCTTACTCTGTCACACAGACTGGAGTACAGTGGCACCATCATAGCTTACTGTAACCTGAACTCTTGGGCACAAGCCATCCTTCTGCCTCAGCCTCCAGAGTAGCTAGGAATAGAAGCATGCACCACCATGCCTAGCTAATTTTTTTTTTCTTTGTAGAAAATAATTTATTTTCTTTGGTATTCCTTGTATTTGAAGAAAAATTGACAATTTGCCTTTTTAAGTATAGAAGGACATTTGATTTGTTTCCAATTTAGGGCTAAAGTAGAAACTGGACTAGTTTTTGTTTCCTGCAACTAAGTCCTGACTCTCTACCTTTACTGAGATCCATTCTACCATGTTTTTGTTTTCAGCCCAGTAAAACAAGTAAGATTGCAGCTATGGCCAGTCCCTAGTCATGGTTACAGTAAAACAAACAAGCCAACAGTTGATTAGTAATTTTAGTTCAAATATATCACTAGTTGCTTTGTATTTTGCTGAGGTGTTTTTTTAAGCACAAAAGGTTTCTGAGGGCTAGGTTCAGTGGCTTATGGATTGTAACCCCATCATTTAGGGAGGCCGAGGTGGGAGGATTGCTTGAGGTCAGGAGTTGGAGGCCACTTTGGGCAACATAGAGATAGAGAAGTCGCTGAAGACAGAAATTATATCTTTCTGTGTCCTCAATATGTATTGAAAGTCTCATTTGTATAAGGTATGGCTAAAAGTTTTCCAAATCATGAGTGCTGGTTCCTTTTGCTGAATAGCTCCTTCCTCAGTTTATTTCTTTCCTCATGCATTTCACCATAAGCAGCAATAACTAACCAGGTTGCACATTCCACATTTTACTTGGAAGTATTCTCAGCTAAATATTCAAGTTCATTATGTACAAATTCTGTTTTCCACCCAACTGTAGAATACAATTCAGCCAAGTCTCTCCCTCTTTATAACAAGATCACCATTCCTTCAGTTTCTAACTGCATGTCATTAATTTCCTTCTGAGACCTTACCATAAGCATATTTAACATTCTTATATTTTAAATTTAATAGAAAACTTTTGGAACAGTTTTAGGTTTATAGAAAAATTGAGTGGAAAGTAGAGTTTCAGTATACTCCTTCCTTCCCCCTTTCTCTCCCAGTCTCTTTATTATTAACATCTTGCATTAGTGTGGTATATTTATTACAATTGATGAGCCAATGTTCATAAATTATTATTAACTAAAGACCATAGTTTATATTACGGGTCACTTTTGTGCTGTATAGTCTATGGGTTTTAACAAATGTATAACAACATGTATCCACCATTACTATATCATACAGAATAGTTTCGCTGCCTTAAAAATCCACTGAACGTCACTTATTCTTCCCTCTTAAAATCCACTGAACATCACTTATTCTTTCCTTTTTCCCTCCCCCTAAGCCCCTGGCAACCACTAATCTTTGCTGTTTCCATAGATTAGCATTTTCAGGGATGTTATATAGATGGAATTATACAGTATGTAGCCTTTTCCAGATTGACTTCTTTCACTTACCAATATGCACTTAATGGTCTTCTGTTCTTCTTCCTTTTTGGTAGCTTGATAGCTCATTTATTTTCCTTACTGAATATTTCATTGTCCGAATGTACCATAGTTTATGTATTCATTCATGTACTGAAGGACATCTTGGCTGCTTCCAAGTTTTGCCTATCATGAACAACGCTGCTATAAACATTCTTGGGCACGTTTTGTGTGGACATACATTTTCAACTCCTTTGCATAAATACCAAGGAACACAATTACTAGATCGTATGGTAAGAGCATGTTTAGTTTTGTAAGAAATTGTCAAACTGTCCTCCAGCGTGGCTCTAACGTTTTGCATTCCCATCAGCAATGAATGAAAGTTCCTGTTGCTCCACATCCTTGTCAGCATTTGGTATTGTCAGGGTCCTGGATTTTGGCCATTTTGATAGGTGTATAGTGGCACCCCATTGTTTTAATTTGCATTTCCCTGAGGACATATGATGTGCAGCATCTTTTCATATGCTTATTTGCCATCTGTATATCTTCTTTGGTGACATCTGTGAGGGTCTTTGGCCTGTTTTTTTAATCGGTTTGTTTCCTTATTGTTGAGTTTTAAGAGTTCTTATATATTTTGGATATCAGTCCTTTATCAGATATGTATTTTGCAAATATTTTCTCCCAGTCTGTGCCTTGTCTTTTCATTCTCTTAAACATTTGTTTTATTTTTTTAAACCAATGTTCTCTTCATGACAATATATGCATTCTCTAAGATGATCGAAGCTTTCTCTATCATGTTCCCTTGACTGTAATTGTTTTTCATATACTCAGTGTTAGGATTTCCAGGTTTAATGTTTCTCAGCCAACAGTCTGAGAGACTTGACCTCGGCCCCTTATCCAAATGCTGGGAATGCACACCAGCACAGTAAAATGCAAGTGCCACGTCTTAAATATAAAAATCTACCGATTTGTTGGATTCTTTTTTTCTGCCAAGGACACAGTGACGGACAGACTGGCCTTGGGCTATATGCAGCTATGTGCTGGCTGACACAGGCATATAAGATGCTTTACTAAGGGGCAAAACATGCTAATATCATCTCCGGGTTTCCTTAAGCATTAGAAAAACATGTTGGGGCCGGGCGCAGTGGCTCACGCCCGCAATCCCAGCACTTTGGGAGGCCGAGGCGGGCGGATCATTTGAAGTCAGGAGTTTGAGACCAGCCTGGCCAATATGGTGAAACCCCGTCTCTACTGAAAATACAAAAATTAGCCGGGGATGGTGGTGCATGCCTGTAATCCCAGCTACGCGGGAGGCTCAGGCAGGAGAATCGCTTGAACCCGAGAGGTGGAGGTTGCACTGAGCCGAGATCGTGCCATTGCACTCCAGCCTGAGCAACAGAGCTAGACTCCGTCTCAAAATAAATAAATAAATAAAGTTGGTCGCCACTCAATTGAGAGTCGTGAAAACAATTTTAATGGGTAACTACCAGTATTTTCAAAATGACAAAGGAGTAGAACAGAAAATATAAGGTAGAACATGTAATAAAGGTAAGGATTGTTTGCGTTTTAAAACTGTGTGCAGACGTGTATTTCTTTTTTTTTTTTTTCTTTTCTTTTTTGTTTCTTTGAGACGGAGTCTCGCTGTGCCGCCCAGGCTGGAGTGCAGTGGCGCGATCTCGACTGACTGCAACCTCTGCCTACCGGATTCACGCCGTTCTCCTGCTTCAGCCTCCCGAGTAGCTGGGACTACAGGCGCGCGCCACCACCATAATTTTGGTATTTTTAGTAGAGACGGGGGTGTCACCATATTGGCCAGGCTGAGTCTCGAACTCCTGACCTAGTGATCCACCCAGCTCTGCCTCCCAAAGTGCTGAGATAACAGACGTGAGCCACTGCGCCCGGTCAGTAGACGTGTATTTCTTAAAATCAGTTCAGTCAGACAAGTTTACAATGCACGCGCATACCTGAAACAGGAACAAATGACTGGCGGCGAAAATGTGCGGCCCTGCGCAGGGCGAACGCGAAACGTTAGCTAAAGCCTCTGGGAAATGAAGTTCAGCAACCTCATCGCGGAGTGTTCTGGGAACGCTGGTCCAGTGTGCCCGCCCGGCGCTGGCGTGCGGGGCGGAGCGGGGCTCTCTCGTAACGACCGGAAGTGACCGTTGAAGCCGGTTGTAGGCGTGGAAAGAGGTTGGCGCTCTGGAAGTCCAGCTGCTTCGGCTCCCTGCGTTAAGTCTGGTGGCGGTCAGTGCGCTTCCGGACCCGGGATCAGAGTGTGTGGATCGCTATAAAGGGAGGGGAGCTCAGGTATCACCATGGCAACAGCCAGCCCTCCGGACCCGTGACGTCACCCTTCTGGTTTCGCGCTTAGAGGCCTCTGCGGGAGAAAGCTGGGGAGTCCTCAAAGGGGGCGCACCTCGCCTCCGTCTGTGCGGGGCGGTCCCGCCCTGATCCCTTGGAGGGCTTTGTTCTTTTGTTCTGGCCTAAGGGGAAGTCGGGTGCCGGGCCCCGCCCTGCTTATCCACCTTCCAGCTTTAACGCTCTGCAACAGGTGTGTCTTCGTGTTATCCGACCTCGCAGGGGTGTGAGTCACAAATGTGCACAGAGGGAACAGACCAGGTCTGTGGATGCCCCGGCCAGATTCTAGGGCGGGCACCAAGGGTTTTTTGGATCTGAGGCAGAACCCGCTTACCCGATCTCCACTCTGTTTTTGTTCATCGGAGTGCCACACGCCTCTCTAGTGCTCTCTTAGGGCACTTCTCTTGTGTAAGACCTCTTGGTCACTTTGCAAGACTCTGATGTGTGATTGTGTGACGTATGCTGCTGACGCCATCCTGTGTTTTTTAGGATAGACAACCTCAGCGTGTTGCAGACTCCCTGCAAGGGGAGCTAGACATCTGAGTCCCAGACTGAGGTATCAGCTGAAGGAACGCTGCCTGGCGAACCCTGGTATTCAAGTTCCAGAGGAACGGGATGAGCTTCTGAGATGGAAGGTAGTGGGGTCGACTTGGGGGAGAGTGGGTTGATGGAGGCTTGAGAACAGTCATGACTGGAGGATCAAATACTTGAGATCAGAGCAGGAGAGCTGGAAGGAAGGAACGGTATGCTTAGGGATTAGCAAAGAAACCGAATTACATTGTAGGGAGAGATTCTTTTTTATAGAGAGATACTTGGGGGAGGAGTTTATTTTTTCTTTCATTCCATTGGGGAATGAAAAGACATAATCATTCAGAGTATATGTGATCCCCACATGACTTCTGAATATTAAATATTAAAATTATAATGTTGAAGTCAGAAGACATCTTGGTAATTATCCCTTCAATGAAAGAGTTAGTTTTGAAATCTCCTTGGCAGATGGCAGTCTGTCAACCCTAGGCCAGAACTAGTGTGGCATTAAACTCGCCATTTTGGGTGCAGACTATTCCCTTGTTGGCTTTCTTTTTTAGTTTGTTATATTAAACAGATGTACTTGTTCCTGTAACTTTTGTGTTGATCTTATTTCTGAGTCCTCCAGAGAAAAGGAAACTGTCTGTTCTTAATTTCACACTGCTGCCCTTAAGATACGTGAATTCAGCTGTTACAACTCCACCTCATAAATTCTAAGCAGTATAGCCTCACTTCTTTTGATTGGTCTGTGTGATGTATCTAGACCTCTTCTCTGAAAACTCTCCTGCTTGTCAGCATTTTTCATAAAATGCAGTGCCTAATGGTAAACATAGTTCTTTGGATGTGCTTTGAAAAGTACCTGAAAGAATAATGTACTACTTCGTTTGACTGGGATTATACTTCTGCTGTTTGGCATCAGATCACATTTGCTTTAAAAACTATCAGTGATGTACTGTAAACTTTAGATTTTTTTTACATAAACTGCAGTGATCTAGATTTATACCATTTTTGTGTAATGGAATTATTATTATCCTTAATGTCAGGACTTACAGTTATGATTGTCCAATTTTTTGGTCACATGTTTTAGGCTTTCAGAATGATTATGAATCTAATTTAGTTATTCAGTGTCTTAACTGTCCTTTCCAACTTAATGCCACTAGCAGATTTAATGAATATTCCTTCTATTTCTTCCTACATGTCATTGAACAGGTCAGGGTAAGGACAGAGGCTTATGACGTGTTCCTATAGACTTCCCTCTGCATTGGTGTTGTCTTTACATTCTTTAGGTATGGCTGTGCAATCAAGTTTGGTTTAACCTAACTATTATCATGCAGTCCTTTTTTTGCATTTGTTAAAAATAATATCATTAGAAATCTTAACATTATTCATATTATTCATGTGAATAATGTAGGTTTGGTCCATACTACTCTTCAATTTTTTGTCCTTCAAGTCTTTTTTACAGTAGATTTTTAAAATATATATTCTAAGTTTATCAGAATTAAATCAGTCAAACTAGTTTCATTAAAAGCCTTTGTTTTTTCTTTATTTTGGGGATTTCTCACAATTTTATCATTAGGATTAACTTTACTGAGCCTCTGTTCCTTGTAATAATTTTTGCAGCACATACTGAGCATTTACTATGCGCCAGGCACACAGTTGGTTTCTGTAACTGTTGCTGTTTTTGGTTCTGTTGGTTGCTGTTACTTGGAATAAAAAGCATCTTACCTGAGACATTTCTCTTGATTCTGTTTTCCTAAAGTCTTAGGTACCTGTCTGTGCATGTGGAACATTTTCTTTCACTGTTAAGAACTTCCAGGATAACATCTTCATTTTTTTTCTTACGACTTCTGTTACAAAACAGTTTTTCTTTACTGGTCAAAATCAAGTTGAGCATAATAGTTCCCTTTATTGCTTCCTCTGCTTTCTGAGGCATGACAGCATTAAGAATTTCTTGATTAATACATTTTTTACAAAATGAAACTTACATAGCCAAACAGTTGAAACTGCTTTTCTCCATATTATTCATCACCCCCACTTGCCTAAGCTGTCTATGTCATACTGTTGCCAGCATGGTGCTGCTTTTGTTTTTTTTCCTTTCTTTTGGTTTATCTATAGTTTCCATCAGGTTTCACACTCACGATTATTGCATCACATACAATAATCCATCTCTTAGTCTGTCTCTTTCTATCAGATCATTTTGCGTAAATTTTACCCAGCTCTCTTTTAAACAAGGATTGGTCATAAAACCCACACTAGGCCAGTTGGCTCTCTCTGGAATTTGAATCTTGGAACTAAAATCAGATGACACTGACCTATCCTAATGGTTGTATCCCAAAGAGATTGTCCTTGCACCTTAGTGGTACAATTTAGATTCCCTGAAATTACTTGGGTTCTCTCCATTTGATTGTTTAGCTTTTCTTTTTATTCTTCATGTTCCCCACTGTCTTTATATTTAGTCCGTTAGTTGATTTTTTTTTTTTTTAAGTTATATAGTTTTAAGGTCTTATGTCTTCCAGCCCAGCAAGCCTTGGTTAATGCCTAAAATATTGGGTTTCCCTTCTTTTTTTTCAGGTGCAAATTCACTTGGCTTATTGCCACTATCTCATGCATCTGTGTGTGGTCATAAATATCCATCTTGACCCTTACCTGTTTTGATTGTTTTTTCTTAGTTTTTACCAAGCATCTCTTACAGCATTGCTAGTCTTTCTACTTCATACCTCATGTCTCATTCAAAGTTTTTTTTTTTTTTGAGACTGAGTCTCACTCTAACGCCTAGGCTGGAGTGCAGTGGCATAATTTCAGCTCACTGCAACCTCTACCTCCCGAGTTCAAGCAGTTCTCCTGCCTTAGCCTCCTGAGTAGCTGGGATTACAGGTGCGTGCCACCATGCCCAGTTAATTTTTGTATTTTTAATAGAGACGGGGTTTCACCATGTTGGTCAGACTGGTCTCAAACTCCAGACCTCAGGTGATCCGCCCACTTCGGCCTCCCAAAGTGCTGGGATTACAGGCGTAGCCGCTGTGCCCAGCCAATCTCATTCAAATTTTTATATCCAGAGACATCTTCCCTCGCTAGTATTTCTGCATACATTAAATTTCTAAGAGGAGAAAATTTTTCTTGTTTTACTTCTTTGTGGAAACAGGTGTACCTAGTTTGGTTTTCCTCACCACTATCTCCTCTTTAAGAGGATTTTGAAAGGTATGTTTGTCAGACATTTGCTTCTAGTCTTTTAAAGATGAGAAAATTGAAGCCTAAAGAAGACAAGGGACTTGCATAATTTTACATAATTAATTACCAGACGAGTCATTTTGAGAATCAGGCTTTCCTGTCAACCAGTACTCTGAATGGATTCCCCCAAGAGCAAAGTTTTTTTTTGTTTTGTTTTGTTTATTAAGGTATAAGTTATATACAGTAAAGCACACAAATACTGTATAGTATATAGCTTTTCAAATTTTTATGTATGTATAAACTAGTATAACCAAGATATGGAATGTTTCTAATGCCCCAGAAGTATCTTGTGCCTCTGCCCAGTCAGTTATCCCTCCAGAAGTACTATTCTAACTTTCATTACTATAGATCAGTTTGGTTGGTTTTTAAACTTACTATAAATATAGTCATACAGTATGCATTATTTTCTGTCTGGCTTATTTTGCTCAACATTATGTTTATGAGATGCATCCATGTTGTTAATTATGTTAGTAGCTCTTTCTTATATTTTGGAGTAATCCATTGTATGAAAATACCATGGTTGTTTATGCTGTGTTCTGTTGAAAGGCATTTGGGTTGTTTCCAGTTCTGAGATATTATGAATAAATCTGCAGTGAAGATCCTTGTACAAGTCTTTGATGGACATAAGCATTTTTATGCATGTAAGGACAGGAGTGGAATTGCTGAGTCATAGGATAGTCATATGTTTAGCTTAGTATAAACTACCAGTTTTCATAAGTGGTTGATACATTTATTCCATATGCCAATCTAAAAAGTTCTAATTGCTTTATATTCTTGCCAGCAATTAGTATTGACCATGTCTATTTAATTTAAGACATTCTGTTGGGTGGGTAGAGTAAGTAGCATATGTCATTGTGATATTTAATTTGCCTTAATAGCAAAGTTTTCAAAGGGCCTATAAAGACTTTTGGAAAGTAATCGGATTATTTCTTCATATTTTATATGTAGCAGAGAAAAGGCAGCAGAAATAGTTTGCCTCACTTAATAAGGAACATAGATTGAGTCATATAATACATATGACTTCTAAGTGTCTAGGTACAAAACTGAATCATAAAGCAATGCTTTACCTCCTGAGCCTACTGAGGAGGGTACCAGGGCCCCAGTTACCGTGTAACTTTTTTTTGCATTCTAAAATGTAAAGGAAATGGCATAGTTTCTGTTATTTTCAAATAGAAGAATAAACGGAATTTATGGATTGCTGGGGATAGCTATATTGAACAGAAGTCATATGGCTCCTGCTTCTTCCCCTAGATCTGTCCTCTCCAGACTCCACCCTTCTCCAAGGGGGACATAATCTACTCTCATCAGCCAGTTTTCAGGTAAGATGTGGTTTCTTGAAATGCCATTTTATTCTTTAGAGGGTGATTGTGGTTTTTTTGTTTTGTTTTTTTCTGTTTATCCAAAAATCAATGTTGGCCGTTCATTCTGGGCTCTTATCTGTCTAGTAACCGCATTCCTAACTCTGCCTCTCCAGCTTTAACTAATACATTCACCACTTACCTCTTGCTTAGTATCTTGCTATGCTCCAGGGATGGGAGAGCAAAATAAGTACAAAACTTGATCCTTTTTTTTTTTTTTTGAGATGGAGTCTCCCTCTGTCACCCAGGCTGGAGTGCAATGGTGGTGATCTCCGCTCACTGCAACTTCCACCTGCCGGGTTCAAGCAATTCTTCTGCCTCAGCCTCCCGAGTAGCTGGGATTACAGGCCTGCACCACCACACCTAGCTAATTTTTTGTATTTTTAGTATAGATAGGGTTTCATCATGCTGGCCATGCTGGTCTTGAACTCCTGACCTCATGATCCACCCACCTTGGCCTCCCAAAGTGCTGGGATTGCAGGTGTGAGCCACCATGCCCAGCCCCAAAACTTGTTCCTTTAATAGGCCAAAATGACTACTAGAAAATAAAACAGGTAAATATAAGAAAGGTGAAATGAGTAATGTGGATATTAGAGAATGGAAAATGTATGTGCTCTGGAAGGATTAGGAGAGTTTCATGGAGAATGGCTGATTTGTGATGCCCCTAAAACAATAGGTGACATTTGAACAAGTAAGGTGGTGGGGATGGAGGTATGGATTCTAGGTATAGAGAAGATTATAAGCACAAGTTTGTAAGTAAGAATTAACAGATGTTACACAGGATTCAGAAAAATATGGAAGAGATGGTTTATGGCAAGTGGTACATAAATGATTGAATGAAGTCAGAATACGAAAGCCTTGAATACCTGGATGAGAAGTTGAAGGCTTTATCGTGTAAGCCATTTATGAACCATTAATGATTTTTAATGGAAGAAAAGTGACCTGGACTGATGGAGAACTTAGACAAAAAAGGTAACAATTGCTCACCAGCCATAATCAACCTCAAGCCCTCCTCCTTCTTAAAATTTTCCCCCTGCTTAATTCCTGTCCCATAACTGAATTTTCTTAACAAAGAAATGGTACTAGTTCTTCCCACTTTCAGCCCAAGTACTTTTGGTATTTTCTATTTAATTGGGGAGTATATTGTGACAGTAAAGTGCACATATTTAAAAATGTATAATTTGGGCCGGGCGCGGTGGCTCAAGCCTGTAATCCCAGCACTTTGGGAGGCCGAGACGGGCGGATCACGAGGTCAGGAGATCGAG